TCTAAAAATAGTGACTCTCTCTACAAAGACAGGGAGAGGGCTACTGAGTTGGTATGCAATCCTGTCTGCTACAATCTTGTCTGTACAACCCTTAGTGAATAAGCTACCCCTTCCTCATACAGAGGTATGATTATCACATCCTAACTGGAAGCTCTAGCAGGGATATCATTGGGGTATGCAGAGTGGGAGTGGAAAGGACCTGAAAATACTGCTCCCAACAATGTGTCAGAGATAGATTCCTTTGCCCTCTTACCTCTGCATCCTTGGAAAATGCAGATACTCTTGGCCAAATGAAAAGACAGCAATAGTTCTCTATAGGGGAAAGCAGCACAAGGGAATTTGTTGGGGGAATGTGGGTATACACAGGAATATTGGTTTCCTATGGATATTGCAACTAATCACAGACTTAAGACAATAGATAGTTCTCTTACAAATCCCGAGGTCAGACATCTGAGATCAGCATCAATTGGCTAAAATTAAGGCAGTAGAGCTTTACTTAAACTGCAAGAGTCACCTTTCAACCTAGTCTGAAGAGAATCTGTTCCCTTGTGTTTTTAGCTTGCAGAGCTACATTCCACCACACTAGCCTCTTCTCCAGTTTTCAGAGCCAGCGATGACAGCATCTTGCTTCTTTCTTCATATTGCTTTTCTCTTCAGTCAAATCTGGTGTTTGTCTGTCTGTTTGTTTTGTTTGTTTGTTTGTTTTAGACAGGATCTCATCATGTAGCGCTGGCTGGCCTGGCATTCACTATGTAACCAGGCTGGCCTTGAACTCACAGAGATCCATCTGCTTCTGCCTCCTAAATGCTAGGATTAAAGTTGTATGTCATCATACCCACCTTGCCTCTCTTTCAATAATAAGACTAATGACTCCATTTGGGCCCAGTTGGATAATCCAGAATAATCTCTCTATTTTAAGAATCCTAATCACATCTGCAAAATCCCTTTCACCATGTAAGGTAATGTCTACAGGCTTCAACGATTATGACCTGTTGTTTAGGGGTCAATATTTAGCCCATCATAGTAAGTTAGAATTCACTGTAAGTGCTCTCAAGATTTGTTCATTATTCTGGGAATGGTGGCATGTGCCTATAACCTCAGAACTGTAGCAGATAAGGCAGGAGTTGTGAGTTCCAGGCTAGCCTGAGCTGCACAACAAGACCTTGTCTCAAGAAAAGAAAAGAAAGAAAGATTTGCACATTTTATCATCTACAGATTACATCAAAGCCTTAAATTACAAATATACAGAAAAAAATAGATGATTTGAGTTTAATCATAAAAAGAAGTTAAAGACCTACAAGGTCTCCTTTTTTTCCAACTGAGGGAACTAAAACCTGACTAGAAAGAAGAAGTGATAAACACCTAAAAGGGAGAATGGGGCTTTGAGTGTGAGTCTGCTGAAAGTTAGGCCAAAACTAGATTGATTCTTGTTTTATTCCCTACCCCATAATCACCAACCTTAGCAAGTCTCCAGCTTTTCCTCACATGCTGAAGCTTAGTTTCTGTCCCCTTACAGTCCCAGTAGAATCTGAGGTTCTCTAGCTACCTGGAAATGCCTGTGAAGGACACAGAACAATTAGCTGAAAAGACTCTGAGGTGCATACTGGTCACAAATGGCAGTAGCTGACTCAGGTCAGCTGACTACTAGAGATTCCATCTAGGTGTTAGAGGCAGATATTGGAATCTGCAGGGCCCTTGCTGGATTTCCAGATTCTTTTTTTTTTTTTTTTTGGTTTTTCGAGACAGGGTTTCTCCGTGTAGCCCTGGCTGTCCTAGAACTCACTCTGTAGACCAGGCTGGCTTCAAACTCAGAAATCTGCCTGCCTCTGCCTCCCAAGTGCTAGGACTAAAGGCGTGCACCACCACTGCCTGGCTGATTTCCAGATTCTTGTGACCTAAAGGAATTGGACCAGAGACACATCTGGATAGTGGTAGGAACTGAGACTGCCTCTAAAGAAAGGGAACATTTCCAAGCAAGGAAGTGACCCAGAGAACTGGAAGTTCAATGGCACTGGACTACAAGAGTTGTGACTTTTTAGAGGTCATGTATATAGCACTCACCTTTTCCAGTATGTGTATACGGGGAGTCTTCTCACATGGGTGCTCTGTCCCATACATGTAGCCTTTGGTTGTGAGTTCTAAGCTCTTTCACTGTTATTAGTTTTTTTCATATGCTAATTTTTGAAACAGGGACTCTGGATGTAGCCCTGGTTGTCCTGGAACTCACGGAGATCTACCTTTATCCACCTACTAAATGCTATCCTCTGATGACTAGAGAGCCCATTGCAAGTATTGAAGAATGGATATAAGTAAATTCTATAGACCAGCTAGGTCTAAGGAGGATCAGAGTCCTAGATTCTCAGACCTTGGGTTGGAGTTTCTGCTTTTACTTGCTTCATGTCTACAGAGGTGGGGTCCTATGAGAAAAACAAGAAATAGATGTCCTGGCAGCTGCAGGGACAAAAATATCTCTAATTCCATATGAGTGGTCACACAAGGTAAGGGAAGCTGCTTAGAGCATGGACCTAGTTTCAGGGATTGGAAAGACTGGAGAGCTGGGCAGTGGGAGGTAGGGAAGTTATTCTAGGCCTGGGTCATACAGATGTCAATTGCCTATTCTCTGAAAGTGTAATGTTCAGCTCGTCTAGCAGAGAACCTGCCTCTAGGCCAGGAATTCTATGATATCTTCCTTTCAGATAAGAAAGTCAAGGATCTCTCCTACTGCCCCAGCGCCTACAGAAGATGGATTCCTGCTGTGCACCGGAGCTAAGAGAACCAGAGTTTCTGATTGACATCAGGCTTTAAGAGTCCAAAGTCTCAAGTGAGGGAACGTGGGGAAAGGCTGCACACTCTCTCTCTCTCTCTCTCTCTCTCTCTCTCTCTCTCTCTCTCTCTCCCTCCCTCCCTCCCTCCCTCCCTCCCTCTCTCTCTCTCTCTTTTTTTTGTTTGGTTTTTCGAGACAGGGTTTCTCTGTGTAGCCCTGGCTGTTCCTGAGGCCTGGAAACTTCCAGAGGCTGGAATGTGACACAAGTTGCCCAGACAAACCAAGGTCCACACTATGAACTCTAATAGTTGTACCCTTCACCTTTAAGAATTTTAACTTGATTTTGATCCCAGCTCTCATGTGTAAGACTTAACAAGTCGAAAATGAAACAATTTCCTTCTTAAATGCCCCTACCAGTAACTATTATGGCTCAATCCCAGGACAAATAGCTGAGGTGCCTATTTAACATATCAAAGCAGACCTGGCCTCCAGTTCTCTTAGTCCCTCCTAGTTCCTCAGTCCCTACCCATCACCAACCCTCCAGCCTGGAGCCTGAGCTGCACTTCCCCCAGGGACTCATAATCCAGCCATTTAGGCTACAGGGTCTTTTTCACATTTTCGGTTTTGGCTTCTTGGTTCTTGGTTTCCAGGGCTCCTGGCTTCCCCACATCCAATCCCCCCTTCTTCCCCCTACATGCACACGTGTGCACACAGCCCAGCTCAGGATCATGTTTGTTCTGGACCTTCTCACATATATCTGGCTATGCTCTCTCTCTTATCTACAATAAATCTTCTCCTCCACTATACATAGGAGCAGTTATGTTCTTATTTCTTTTTTTTTTCATTCAGTAACATCATCAGAATTCCCTAGCTCTGGCCTACCTCCTCAGTAACAACGAGGAGCTGATCTTATAGCCACTAATCTGTACTCACTAATCTGTTTTCCAAACTCTTGGCCTCTGAGCTAATTATAGCAGTGTTTCATGCCACCCACCCCAACCCTATTCTTGTTCTCTGACTCCCACTAATCTACACATTCAGAGGATTGTGGATATAAGAGGCTGGGAGGCCAGCTTAGCAACCAGAGCTGGAGGCTGATGTGAGCTTCATCTCTTTCCCCAGGTAATATTCTAAATCTCTCTGCTTCTTGCCCATACTAAGTCCACCTCCCTCACCTTTAGCGTCTTCTTTAGGAGAAGGAGAGGGACATCTTTTCTGATGCAAGCAATGGATTTTCAGGCTGATGTAAGAGACTTCTAGGACTCACCACCCCCAACTCATCCCTCTGACCAAGCCTACTATGTATTGAAGGAAAGCACCAGAAAGGCATTTCCCTCTCTATGGTTCCCTAGTACCTGAAGAGATGAGTGGGGATAGAATGGAAATGTTTGAGGAAAGTGACAAGAGGGATGATGGGTAAGGGCAAAGAGGGCTTTTGGTCTCCACAGAGGCTTCTACCACCAACCCCAAGAAAGTGAGAGCCCAACCCCTTTTGTCCTACAGCTTTCCCTCTTCGTTCTCCCACCTCTGCCCCGTTCTTCCTTCTTAGCTGGAGGTCAACTTCAGTGCAGGAACAAAAGGAGATTTCATCCATTCATTTATTATTCATATAGTTAACAAACTGTGTGCCAGTTGATGTTCAGTATTAATGCAACCCAAGAAACATATTTAAGAGATGCAGTATGAGCCAGTAGGATAAATAGAAGGGGTTCAAAAATAAGATGGGAAGCAATCAAGAAAGACACTGGACATCTCTCTGACTTTCACACATATGCACCTGTGCATGTGGACATGTATGCACAGGCATGCTCACATGCCCCCCCACACATACATACACACATACAGAGAGAGCCAGAGAGAGAGAGAGAGAGAGAGAGAGAGAGAGAGAGAGAGAGAGAGA